GAGTATCTCAATTCAGGTCGGGCCCCGTTCTATAAGAGTGCGCACTCTGGATGATAGTAAGGATGTGTGGGGAACTAGACGTGAGCCCAAGGGCATGGTAGTCCTGATCATCCTGGCAGCTGGTTGTCCCTGATTGTGCGGCGCTGATCAAACCCACGAAATGTGGACCTGAGTTGTACCAAAGGTGACCTAAGACTACCTTGGTGCAGGTATGTCTGGGTTTGTGTTAGGAATAAATTTTCTAGCTGGTTGAAATCGATTTAAATCGTCGTCTCTCCCGGATAGCGAGAAACTCGACTCGCACTAGCATCGTAGTAATTGAACTATGGAATTTGATGGTTATGATGAATATGGAAATGTTACAACGGCTATGGTTACTATTGCATGTTACTAAATGATATTCCACATGTTTGGCATAGGTTAGTTGCTAATCTAGAGATGAATAGCTATAATTAACTTGATTACCGAATTATAAAACGTATAGCTCAACTAATGGCTTTTATGCAAAATGTTGTCAAGCTAGCTCCACCTATAAAGCCTTGCATAATCTTTGGAGTCACTTTGTTTCTGATTTATGACGGGTAAGTCTAGCTGAGTATATTCGAATACTCAGGGTTTATCCCACCATGTTGCAGGTGAAGTTCTCGGCCTGCTAAAGATGGTGACTAACCGCTAGAGGGCTCGGTGACTCTATATTTATTTCTCATATATATTCTTTTATCAGAAGATGTCACTTATGCTAGCAATGTATTTGGAACTTATATTAATGTAATCATTTGAAAGCTATGTTGTTTCCCTTAACCAGTTTTGAAACCCAAACTTGTACTATTATTTGTGAACCCATTTGTAATATTATTTCCGCTGTAACTCTATGTATGTGATGTGTATTTGCTTAATCATGCGATCTTGGTTGTGATGTTGATTTACCGAGGTCCTTCGTGATACTCGGCGGACTACCGGGTTTATATAAGTGAAAGTATGCACGCGTCAATGTGTTAAACGGGGACAGCCGTACTTGATCTGGTATAAATTGGGTGGTTCTATCATAGAATATAGGTGCAAGTAGGGTCCGATTACGAAGGAAGAACAAACTCTGTTCTTAATCTTCCTTAGTAATATCCCTTATGTGTAGATATAAAGATGACCTTAGCCATGACTACTAGGTGTATTGCACAAATCAATGTATGCTTTGACTTATAATTAAGAATGACTTATAAATTATTCCTCTAATATTCTACTTAACCATGCTAATGCCATAGAAAGGAGTACTCTGAGTGATTTATCATTAATCCATACTTATCATATACATAATTTATCTTACAACTTACCCCTGTTGTGAGTAGAATATTGGTTATGGTTTACTTCTCCATCAATAGTATAAGTTATCAATACATGTCCTTGCTAGACCTTCCCTATGGTAAAAATATAAATAACAATACCTAGAATACTCTCGGGTAAAGTGCTACAATGGTATATTATCTATGCTCTTGTAGATTCCTTTCATTAATATATATTCTTTCTAGTCACATGAAAAATTAAAGTACTTCTTAGTGTCATTCTAGAAGTGGCACTAGGTAGTACCAACAAGCATTTCTGGCACCAACACTAGGGATGACAACTTAGTAAAAGATGCTAAGGAATGTAAACAACATAGGGTGACTACTTTAAACAAGTGACACATTAATAAATACCAACAGAGATCATGCTAGATAGGTCTATATAAATAGCCTATTGGCCAATTCCAAAACACATCTATTTGAGCTTCTATTTTTCCTCTTTCCATTGTTGCGCTGCCACCGTAGCTCTCCACCCCGAGCGCCTGCATGCACTGGCGATTAGGAGAGTCGGTATTTAGAACCCTTATCCTTGCGATCCTACATCGGGAGAGGGTGAATAAGGTTTTTAGGTAGCGCTTTCGCGCAACTGATCCCAACCTGTCGTCTTCCATCCAAGTCAAGCAATGTTGCGCACCATCATGCTCATCGCCAAGCGCATCAAGCTCTTGCTCCACCACTCATTAACGACTTTGTACCACCAGTAGCCATGGTGTCTCCATATGCAGACGAGAGATATGCACGTTTGTTGTTATTATTTCTTATGCTCAGGTAGAGAATTCTGCAGGCGTACATAATACTATTGTAGCACTTCACCAAGGAGTATTCCAAAGGTATCTTATTTACTTAATCCATAGGGAAAGTGGCGGCTAGAAATGATAATAAATGAGAGATCTTAGTGCTACCACAACTTAGTTATCAATAGTGTAGTGTTAAGCGAATATGGATAGGAAGGGTGATAAAACAATTCCAAGACACAAAGATAGAAATAACTCACAAAAGATAACTAGATAGGTATAGCTAGGTGGGAGGACAATGAGACAGTATAAGCTTCCTATGATCTGTCTCTACTTCTATGGTTCTATCTTATACACACTACTACAGCAGACCTATCACAGTCGGCTCAGAACCCCCATCGCAGCCGGTTTTTGGCCTCAGCAGTAAATGGTCGATAGTGATAGTCAAAGTCAACACTGCCACATTGGTCAATGATCCGATTGTAATCGTGATAATCACCGTCGCCTTGCACCACGACCTGACTATGTGCAGTGCGGGATCACCGTTGCCTTCATGTCTGATACTTGTAATCCAACAGTGACAAAATAGCAAATGTATTTACTAATTGAGTTGGTCCTTAATAGCTTACTGAACACACACCATACAGATATAATCATTACATCCATACATCATGTCCACAAACAAGAGTACTTTTGATAATAACAATCGACATTAACATAACAACTATGTCAATTGATGTACTAACACAAGCGGTACATAGATTGTAGAATAAAGGTACTACTCCATACAGACTTACATAACGAAAATGAGGTAGATGTGATCCGCTCCTATTTGACACTCATGCTTCCAAGGCATAGCTTCCTTTAGATTGGTAGCCAATGCACCATGGAACCCCTCTTCTTCCTCCCTTAGTCATTGTAGGAAAATTGTTCAAACACACTCAGACTCCACCACCTGCACAAAGCAACAGAATTAATAATATTCAACATACCGTTGCTTTAGTTATGAAGCCCAAATTAGCCTATATATTAATCAAAACAACTCCATACCTGAATAAACAAAATATAGCAAATGCACCTTTACTGCTCTGCTAATGACTCCATGAGCAAGGGAACATAAGGAAGATAATGAGGTCCATTGATACATAGACTCCAGGTAGGTCTAGGATAGTTGATGACCCATGTAGAGAGGACATGAACTTTTATGTGGTTCATGTCATACACGAGCAGTGTTCTGTCCTCCCCAACAAGAAAAATCAAATTCTATTCTAGATGAACTACAATCACTCTGTAGTCCACATCGCAAACCTTGTAACCAAATTCAATATAGTTCTATCCAAATATCTCCAACGTGGTCACCGTATGCTTCAATATCCATTTATCTACAACATGGGCTTCATGGATGGAGATTACATCACCATGTGGCTTTTGTATTTTCGTCCATATCAACAGCAACAATCTGGAAGAACTCCAGCCAGTGCATAAAACCATTAAGAAACACACTTCTCGCAAATGTGGATACTATAATACCGTCGCCCCATTTAGATTCTTTAAAGATCCATGCTACACTCTTAGATGAGTAGATGCTCACACCTATGGACTCATCCTCCCTCATCTTCCCATATTCAAACACATGGAAGTACGAGGAGACTATCGGATCAAACCCCGGTGAGCCTCACCACAAGAACTGAGGTTATCTAGCAGTAGCAATCATTTGTTAGTCACAGGATTACAAACAACATAGCGACACCCAACGCACCAACAGAGGATGACACTAGTAGAAATCCACACATCTATGATGAAAATCCTAGTGACGAATCAAAAATTGTCATAGAAGATCGCTTTTTATAAAAAAAATTATATCATCATGGATCATTGGTGACGATCCTCTTCCCCTGCCTATCTATGATGAAATCAGATATCATCACAAAAATTCATTTCAATGATATAGGGTTTCGTCATAGATCACACGCGCAACTGATCCCGCTTATATGTGATGATCTAGGGTGCGTTTGGTTGGTTACCAAACTTTGTCAGAGCTCGCCACACTTGCGACTGCAGTTCGCTTGCTTTCTAGACCTCCAGCGCCGCCACAAGTTCCTAACTGCACGCAAGTCATTTTGGACGCCTCAACTCGCCAAATGTTCGGCGATTGTTTTTAGCGCGGCACTTTTGGCGGGGATGCGGCGTAAGTAGGCATCAGCCAAATGCGCCCCTAATTTAGAATTGTGACGACCAAACGTTCCTCATTGAACTAATTATCCATCTATGACGAACAGATTTCGAACTATAACGAACGACACTCCATCATAAATCTCCACATGGTCCTTTCTCCATCCGACGTGTACCTATGGGACCCGCGATCACTTATCCGTGATGAACGGTTTTACAATTGTAACAAACGCCACTTCATCAAAAAGTCTCCACGCGGTTCTTTCTTCATCCGACGTGTACCTGTGGGACCTTTCTTCATTGACATACACACCAACTACGCATCTATGTGTTGAATTAGAGTTTCTAGTCCACATGAGAAAGTCTGATTCCTAAAACTTTTGGTTTAGGAGTGCACATCGGATGCTCTATGTGTTTGGTGGGTGCCATGTTTTGCATTAAAAGTCACTATACAATTAATGAGTGAATACAGCTAGTAGTCACACACTATAGTAAGGTACTGTATGCCAAAAGTTGTTAAGGTGCTTTGGCAGGTATGCTAAAAACAAGGCAGCTTTAATGAGTAAAGGCCTACCGTTATCAATATGTTTTGCTGGCAACTTATTTCCTTCACTCAGCCTTGAAGGGTTACATATTATAAAATATCTTGAAAGCATCCTAGAGATGACTTCTTGATGTTTATTTAGTCAGTGAAGGACACCACCTCTAGTAGTACATCACCAGTTCTCTCTCCCAGTTCTTTCTTTCCCTGGTATCCATGGCTTCTCATCCCTACCTCAAGAAAGTTCATCGGTTGTTCTCTCGCATGTTGTTTCCTATTGGAGTTGATCCATTTCTTGCAGTATTGATAATCGCCTTTTGGATGTTTGCTGAAGAAGATGGCTATGTTGATTACTTTGAATGCATAAATGCATTTAATGGGTACAATATCTTGGTTATGGTTGATTCTGTGAGAAAGTTTGTTGTTGACCTTGTTCATCTTGCATCGAGTGACACAAATAGCAGCTCTCCTAGTGCGAAAGAAGTTATTGAAAGAATTGATTTCTACCTCAACAATATTTGCTCTGAGGCCTTGGGAGATCTACTTGAAGAGTTTGAGATCCAGGATTTAATCTATGAATATGCTCAAGATCATGATGAACATCTGAGGGAAGAAATTTGTGTTAGACTGGTAAGATTACTACTCAATCTCAACAAATAATCCTAGGTGATGTTTAGGGATTCATGGGTTTGAGGTTAGGGTTTGCTGATCTTGGTTGAAGTTGGGTTTAATGGGAGTGTGGAGCATATCTGATGGTGTACAATGATGTGGTGGTTCTAGGAGGAAAGGAAGTTTCTCTAAGAGTTTAGGGTTAGGGTGGTGGGTGGTGCTAGTGACTAAGGAGGCAAATAGGTGGTGCAATCACTAGTAGTGGCGATAGACCAAACGATAGAGTATGCACCAAAGTTGGAGGTATGTAGGGTAGGGGAGCATCATGAGACCTTGCTAGAAGTGGTGAGCAAGGTCTCTAGGAAAGAAGAATGATAAGAGCAAGAAACATCCTAGCCATGTAATTGGTATATATGTCTCAAATTTGTCACTAAAAGCCAATGTTTTCTTATTGTATTTAAAGAGATTCCCTTTTTATATATAGATTCAAGATTTGTCACATCCATGTGTAGGGTATTGCAACAAACTTGGATGAATCTTCTAGTCAAGCCCAAAACACTTAAGGTCAAGCCACAAGTGCTTAGATGCCTAAAACTATAGAGGAGTCAACAATTTTATCTCGTTCAACTGACTTTCTTGAAGACATGTTTGAGAATGTAGATGTAAGGATGGGAAATTAGTTTTTACATCATGCCCATGAGGGATCAATTAACAATTAATGGTCATACCAAACTCATTGCTATGTTGGATTAAGTATTTTCTTTCAAATTATTTAGGAACTCCTGCCTCATCCAAATAACATTCCAAAAGAAGAGAGAACTCATGCCTCATCCATTGAGGAAGAAACGGGTGAGGACTCAGGGAAGAAGCTCGAGCACCAGTAGCAGGGACCTTTGGTGCAGGTGGCCGACAACAAAGGTGGCCGACGATGGAGGTGGGAGGCCAGGTGGAGGTGAGTGGCCATGGAGACGACGAGTGCCGATGTCCTCCAATTCCACTCAATATGGAGGGTTAGGCTCAGATTGGGATAGGCCCTTCCAATTATAGTCCAATACCATGGAAATGGGTCTCCATTGCCAAATCTCAATTCCACAAACATCCAAACACTAGCATTCGAGAAACATGATTCCAATTCCCAAATTTGGGCTCCAATATCGACATTCAAACGGGGTATAAGAGCTTTGGGTAAGGGTGGTGGGTGGTGCTAGTGACTAAGGAAAATAGGTGGTGCAATGGCTAGAAGTGGCAATAGACCTAACGACAAAGTATGCACCAAAGTTGGAGGTTGTAGGGTGGGGGAGTATGACAAGACCTCGCTGGAAGTGGTGAGCATGGTCTCTAGGAAAGAAGAATGATAAGAGCAAGAAACATCCTAGCCATGCAATTGGTATATATGTCTCAAATTTGTCACTGAAAGCCAATGATTTCCTTGTTGTATTTAAGGAGATTCCCAATATAGGTTCATGATTTATCACATCCATGTGCTGGGTAATGTAACCAACTTGGATGAATCTTCTAGTCAAGCCCAAAACACTCAAGGTCAAGCCACAAGTGCTCATATGCCTGAAACTACACAGGAGGCAACAATTTTATCTCGATAAACTAACTTTCTTGAAGAAATGTTAGAGAATGCGGATGTAAGGATAGGAAATTAGTTTTTACATCATGCCCATGAGGGATCAATTAATAATTAATGGTCATACCAAACTCATTGCTATGTTGGATTAAGTAATTTCTTTCAAATTCTTCAGGAACTCCTGTGTCAGCCCAATAACATTCCAAAAGAAGAGAGAACTCTGCTTGTGATTTTATCTGATGGGTATACATTGACTGAAGATGAACTATTTGATTTCTTTAGCCGGTAACATTGTCTTCTCAACCATATTAAGCCTATACATGTTCAAAGTTTTACATTCAGAAATGTGCATGGTTATTTTGGTGAAATATTTAATATGGAATGATATATCATTAGCTTTATTGGTATTCCTATCAACATTGTAGTTAACTATAGCAAGAGAAAACAATAAGTAAACATTAAAGTTAATAGAATTATGTACTTAGAAATTAAATAAAATAAGAGGCAGATCCAAAGACCAACTATCATATATAAGGTATTTATGTTTTGTTTGTAGTGAAATAGTATCAATTGGTGTGCACTAGATCAACATCTACATATTTGAAGATTGCTGGCCATATGGCTTATCAACAATAGAGAGAACAATAATTCTGTAATGATTTTTTCGTCATATGCATACTTTACATGGATAATTGTGATTAATATATTTTTCATTGAACTATTTTGTCCCTTCCTTGAAATAACTGTATATGAAGTCAAAGAAATCCTCCACGACACCAATGCCAACATTTATTTAACATAAGCCACTAAATTAAGCATGCCTTGTCATTGCAACATTTCATTGATTGTTCTGTCTTTTTAAGAAATAGCTTGTATTGTATTTGAAGCACCTCAAACACCATCTTTTGGAAAAATTGTATCTATCAAATTAAAATATGAATGGAGATATTGTCCAAACGATCCTTGTAATTGAATTCGTTACAATAGAATGATGAAGTTCATAACATGTGGCATCGTTATCATCCTTCAAAGATGATATCATGTTGATTCATTTATTTGTTGTTTCCATTTCATAGTATCTTGTATTCACATCCCTCCCTTTATTAATCATTAGTGGTAGCACCTAATTTGGAATGTTTTTGCTCCTTGTGGTTAAGTTATATCCTTAAGTTTTAAAGTTCAAAGACGAATAGTTTGTTCATAGAGAATGAAAACACAACTCATGGGGGTGTTCAATAGCATTACAAACATTGTGCCTTTTTAAATACTCCCTTATTTCAAAACAGAAAGTGTGGTTTGACTATTTGCACTAAAACACTATACTTTGACCATTGATATCTCTTATATTGCACCATCCAATACCTTAAAGTTATAACCCATGATATAAAATACTTTTAAGTATTAATGCTACAATCGTAAAGTTGTAAGTCATAATGCACAAACTCTTATTTTGAATGTTGGTTCAAGATTATAGGTTTAAAACTTGAAATGTGTGCATGCCATATAAAAAAATAAATGTAGGAAGACTACAAAAAGAGGAATGGTTTGTAACTAAATATGATTTGAGACTTCCCAAGGGAAACACATATGGGAATACATGGGTAGATGACAAAATGGTGATATGTGTAGTACCAAAGCATACTTTTTTATTTAGTTTATATCACCTAGATTCATTTTGTTATCAGTATGAAGTAGTTTTTTACTTTGTATCAATAAGTATATCTTCTTTATCAAAAGTTTTTTCCTGCCTGACCATGTTTCATTTTACCTAATACAACAGTTTATATAATGTTTTATGCATGCATATTACTTATACATTTGTCTAACTTTTAGCATTATATTTCCCCCACATTGCAGGAACTACGGAGAAGTTGAAGAAATTGTTATAGAGGAACCAAGACTAAGGCCTGATCCGCTTTGTGCCCTTATCATATTCGCCTCACCCAATACACTATTTAATAACCTCAATGGAGATAAGAGGGTCCATTTCATCATAAAAGGGAAAGATGTGTGGGTTCAACGTTATGCCAAAGATAAGAGAGCCCGCTACACTATAAATGGTAAACTTTTATTCTGTTGGGGATAAGTGGGTCCGCTTTGTCACAAATGGAAAAAGGGGGTCAAGGTGTTGCTCCAAGGTGCAAGGGAATAATCTTCGTTGAACCTAGAAACATAAGTATTTCGCACCGTATATCAGAATAAACTCCTTGGCATCGAAACTGTCTTTTCTAAATGGAATGGTTGTAACCCTATTGACACTATGGACATGATGGTGTTTATGTTGTTAAGATCCAAATAAGGTTGATTATAATGGACCTAATGTTTATTATTGTGCATGGTTAACATTATGCCACCAAGGCTATTTATCTAAACTTGAGAAACTACACAATGGGATAATAAGTCATTGAACACCTCATGCATGTGACTAAATTTGATTCACCACTTCAAATATCATGACATGCACTACCCTTGCCCTCCTCGATGGGAAACAACAATAACACACCATAATTTGTGTTGTCTATTGTTTTGCCAAGAGAACAAAAAAAGAGTAGAGGCACTACGGCAACAAGCCTCTTGAATTTGTAGTGCATTTCATTGGTGACCAAAGCTACCACAAGCCCATAATAGATCGACCAAAATTTGGCATCACCACACTTTGGTATTCAGGCTAAATTCCCATGAGCGCATAAACAAAATAACTAGAGAACCAATAGAACAAAAAACTTTAAACAATTTTTTTGCAACCAAGTGCTAGTTGTAGGGCCATTTTTTTATAACACCACACTTTGGGTTTCTGTTTTGGCCAATTTAGCCTAGCTGTATGGCTCCAAGTTTTTGCTATGCTTCATGCTTTACTTCTTTCCTTGTCTATATGCATGGAAATATGAGGGTAAATGGGATTAATAAAGCATTGCATTTTAACCAACAAGTTAAGAAACAGGCATGCTGCCCTAATCTAGTACATCCAAATTTTAAATTGTTCTCAGAACTATAGCGAACTCACAAAATTTGACTATACATAGATGTTTAGCTTTGTTGATAATGATGAGGACATCCTAACTCATCATGATCCATCAAGTGTCAACCATTCACTATACAACATAGAAGATACAAATCAAGGATCACTCACACAAAGTTGTGCCAAGAAACTACAAACAAAAGTGAATTCATTCCTAACTGAAATTATCTTTGATACACTTGAGAATATTATACTACCTAAATGCTCGACATATGTCTTACTAAGGTTGAAACAAGAAGGAGCTACCGCAGGACCAAAGGAGAGAAGATGTTTTACATGGAAGCTGAACTGGTACACCACCTGGCTGACAGCAGAGGCTGGCAGAAAGAAACAGTCATAACTCTTGATTCCCTAAAGCTTTGGAGGTCCATATGCACATTTTAGAAAGCTCATCAAGTCTAGTTTCGAATGCCTCTAAGCTCGACTAATTTGGATATACCAATAATGAGATTTGACTAGTTTCTTTCCAATTCAATAAACGACACCTCTATTGGACTTCCTAATAAGGAGTTATGGACATATTAGTAGAGACTGCTCAGGAGGGCTAACAGTTGCACGAAACTCCACGGAATTCCATCTCGTGGAGGCCTTTGACCTCCCGTAACTGCAGAAACTCTAAGTTCATTTCATACCCAACTAGGAGGGTTGTTTCTAGTACAAATATTCCTTGCCTCTAAGTTATTAAAAACCTTTTGATGAATTGATAAACCGTATAATATTGCAGCTGAGCTGCCAAGTGTCTTACTCACACCTTTGTTATCTTCGGTTTTTTGACCTACTGTCGTGAAGATCGGAACACCCTCAAGGAGGTTCCTTATCATTTGGGTAATTAACAGGTTACATGATAAAATTTCAGATCCTAAATGAAAACTTCACATCTTAATGTGATAGTTGTTGGCAATTGATAGGAAAAAAAATCTGTACTAAAATAAATATACATTAATATTCTACTATTTTAAAATATTATACTAAAATCTTTAGGCCACATGAGAGGCAATGTCGCAGCCAGTGCCAAGTGACCAAGTATGTTGGTTTTGAACACAAAAGTATGAAACTAATCGTCATGATGGTAGTTCGAAGTGATGGTTGATATTACAGGAACACGCCTTTGGAGGTGAGCATTGAGGAGATATTTGGATAAAAAAGGTTGCAAGTTGGATCACGATGCTAAACCTGTGAAAACTTCTATTGTAGGTTATGATGGTGTCTGCATTGGAGATATGGGTCATATAGGATTTTTAGTCTATAGATACTTTTCTTTTACAATGTTCAAAACTACATATGGCAATAGAGAATTTCACATCGGGGAATGGCAGCCCATCCCCGTCCCCATGGGGAGAAGACTTCTCATCCCTATCCCCCACAAAAGCTTATAGGAATGCTTTTCTTCTCACGGCCTTCCCTGCACGGGGAATTAATCCACGCTGGGATCACCATCGTTGCATTGATACATCACATATGATGGTTTATAAATTTAATTAATAACAACTATTAATGCATAACAAATAAGTAATTAAGTATAAACAATTCCAAATAAATGAATAGCAAGTAAGGCGCTAACAATGCTTAGCAAAGGGTAACACATACATATTTAGCAAAAGGCTCGGTCACGTATATGCGTGGTGGGTAGGCGGGGAACAAGGATGAGAAATGAAGAGCCATCCTCATACCCATGAAACCCGATAGGGATGATATGTCTACCTTTTAGGTCTCCATAAGGTGAAACCCTCCCCCTCATCGAAACTATTTGATTCAGTAACGATATTTTTCTCGTTGCACTTTGCTTTAAGATTTGTGAATTTTATTTAAAATATCACTAGAGTTTTTCTTTTCAAAAATAGCCTAGAATGTTTCAACATGTAGGGTTCAACAGCCATCACAATGGTCATCAACTATAAACCTGAATTCTGCTACGAGGTTCTAAATACTACCACCTAGCTCCTCCATAAAGCAAGCCTACCGACTAAACATTAGTGGTTCTGTGATGGTGTGCTTCCTGCCTCTAAAGGCAGCTTGCATCTTGACAAGCACTCTAGCTAAGACATGAGTCCCATTAATTGCTCCTATGCAGTCCTAGATGAACAAAACATTAGTGGTTGTGAAAATTGGGACTAAGACATGTGTGAATTAATGATGACCAAATGAAAATAGTATGGGACACCAACCTTGAAATAGGGGTACCATCTTCTGCTCCTAAAGATCCTTGGATGGACATTGGTAGCAGGAGGGACAATCAATTCATTTCTTAGCTCCCCTACTGCATACAACACCCTAAAAACCTATTAATAGTCTCTCCGGGCCTCCTAAAACTAAGGTCAACAACCTTGTGACCAACATGCAAGAACATTGCAACTTGTTCTTCGACAGATGCATGTATGCTGTCAGTGACCAATTGCCTACTACGAAAAAGGTCACATAGTTTGGAAAAAGGTGCTCTCTTCATCCTAAGCAAGTTGACACAATGTACATCATCAGACTCATAAATATGTCTCAGGTTATTCATCCTCTGCTGGTCCCTCACTGCCATGGGTCCATAGGTCACTGAGTGGGCATCTTCACCTCGTCTCCTAAACCACATGTAAAACCACGCAGCCACTGCTACTACCACAGCAGCGGTTGCCCTGCGCCTGGCTTGGAAGTCCATGTCTACAACACGATTGAGGGAAATATTAAATATGGATCATGCACTTTGCGGTGTGTACTGAGGAGCAAGCAGACATTCAGACCTAGTATCTTAAACTAGACGCGGCTACCACACCCAAGGGTGCTCCTCCAGCGCCTAGGCTAAGAAAAATTAACATCATCGACCTAGGCACTATGCTCAGTTTATAAATCAAAATAGGCATCATCATGTGCAAGATGTACAACCGTAGGACCACCACAAATCCGCCTGTGGTGGTCGACTCGGGCGGTCAACCGAGATCGAGGGGGAGCAAGAGGAAAGGGCGCACCAGAGCAATGGAGGAATGAGAGGCACGAAATGGGGGCGGTAACACTAGCCGCGACACGCGCGCGCCCTTTTATCGCCCGCACGACGTCATCTCCCGCTCTCGCCTAGACCCTTCCCACCAAACATCGAGCCATCCTACATCGAGAGGGAATTGGAAATCGAGAAGGCGGAGACGTCCGGTACGACGGAGGGGAGAGGAATGAAGTGAGGCAGCGAAATCGTACTAGCAGGACAACCAAACAAGGCCACACTACACCCAGCGGTGCAGGATGGGCCTTAGGACGCCCGGTTCGGGCAACCAATCACGTCCATACTTTGCTTCCTCCACTTCCCTATTTTGTAGATTTCAGATTTTTTTTAATATTGCAACCACTTCATGTAGCGTTCCAATTTTCAAACAAAATTCACCTTCTATGCAGCACTGAGGCTCCAGCATTCTTGGTGATGAACATGGGGACATTAAACTCCCTTTGCTCCCCATGGAAAACCATCATTTGATGTCATGCGATGCAGTCAGTGGGGTCTCGTGGAAAAACTTAGGCTGAAGTTGCTAATGGGCTCATAAGTTCCTCTCAAGTCTCAACTATAAATTATGGCTTTACTTAGTTCAGTATACACGGTTCTATTTGGGACACCTATTTTTTCTGAAAGTAGATTCCCTTATTGTCACCAAAATTTGTATGGATACCTTCGATGGCATTAAATTTTCACTATTTTAAATTTGCATTCCTTAATTGCCATTGGTGTTAAATCTGTTAACTTGCCGTTAAGTTGGCACTCGCTGATGCGTGGAGGAGCGCAAACCAGCAAGTTTGTGTAAATGGTTTTTTTCTTTTGAAGCTAAGTTTTTGTAAATGGTTTTCAAAACGTTGCTTTGCTGTAGTTTTCAAATTAGTTATACGATATTTCTCCACAGCAAACCTGACTGATCTGAACCGTTGGCTTTCAATCGGATCCCCCGCTGTCCCCTGCTATCCACAATATTATCCCTGCCCTCCACTTCCTCCGAAAACCACTACTACTTCGTTATCCATGCCTCCCCTCCCCGCCGCGGCCATGGCCACCGCGACGCTGCCCCTCCGCCTCCTCCCCTCCAAAACGCTGACCCTCACCACTC